GTTTCCAAGAATGGAATCATGGATTTGACAAATGTATGAAATGTAATGGAGAGTGCTTTGAAGGTGATAAGGTGTTTTGTAAAAAAAAAATTTAAATACATAGCTTTGAGAAACAATTCCTTTTTTTTTTTTTTTGCAGGGGGCACCCCCTTGTATTCTAAGTTAAACTCATTTTGAGGTGACAAGAACAGCTGCAGGAGACATCTGAACGTGAGGACTATTCTGCTGCAACAAAGACCTTCAAGAAGGAACTTTGAAACTATAAACTTTCCGAAGTTCACAGAATCCTGGGAAGGCCCTATATGGCCTAGTCACTGGAATGAACTAGGGCTTACGCCATTAAGTATTAAAGAAGGGATCCATAAATGGGAGGACCTATGGGCGGGCCTTCAAGGAGCCTGGTAGTAGCATTGGGCTGCCCACCACAAGGCCAGCAATTTGCAACCACCAGCTGCTCGTCAGGAGAAAGAGAAATCTTTCTACTCCCATAAAGATTTAGTCTCAGAAACCCAAGGTGACAATTCTACCCTCTCCTATAGGGCTGATAAGAGTCGGCATCTTCAAGCCTTTAAGACCCCAGATGCTGTATCTTTTGATAGCTGGGCACCATCAGCTTTCTTCATCACATTTGCTTATGCACCTGCTTTGTCTTCAGTGACATAGATTTCTATATAAATATATTTACATATGTTCATGCCTGTATTTAGCCCTCTATAAATGCCCTATGCCTCTTAGTTCCTTACTCTATTTCCTTTTCCTTTCCTCTTGTCCCACTATCATGTTTGGCCTTCATTTGGGTTTCAGTAATTCATCTCGGCTACATTGTCATTGATCAAGCCCCACCAGGCATCCTATGCCCTCCTCGCCATTGATTTTAGATCACTTGTTGTTCCCTTGTCCCTAGGTTTGTTGACACTCCCCTTCCTTTCCCCCGCCTCCCCCTCTTCTGTGACCCCCTGGAACCAATGGTCCTATTGTTTTCTCCCCTGGATTGTTTATCTCTCCTATCTTATCTAGACATGCAGAGACAATAATAAGGACAAAAACAAGACAGAGCAAAACAAAGCAACAAATGAAGAAAAAAAAAACACCACCACAAAAGAACAGCAAAAAAACCCAACACAAAAAATGAAATACCTATAAATAGTTCCAGGTCTGTTTGACCTTTAGGAGTGTTTTCTAGTCGAGTCTGCTGGGGTACCACAGCCTGGCCCCAAAGTCCATTTTTGGTATTCCCCAGAAACTTCATTGCTTTGCATTGCTTTGCTCCCCTTGTTGTTCTGTTGCCTGCCCTTAGCGTTTTGCCCCAGTGTGGTGGGGTCAGATCGGTCACAATTCCTGCACTGTGCCTCCAGTGTTGTCCTCCATAACACTATGGGGTCAGTGAGGGACACTGTGTCTTGTGGTGGGGCCACCCTATGATCCTCTCTGTGTATTGGCTGCTCTGAGCAGGAATATCATCTTCAGAGCTTCGTGGGTCAGGACGTGTTCCACTCTCTCTCCTTCCCTCTTCATTTGCTCCTGTAATTGCTTCTTTCTTAAGTATTCTGATTCCATCCTCTCCCACAAGGCTGCCCACAATAGAAAACCCAAGTTAATATAGGTCACTACCATGCTCAACAGAACCTTATTTCTACAGGACAAGGTCTAAACAATGGCTTCCCAGTGTCTTGACCTAGCTTAACTCTCGGGCTCATCCTCCATCTACCCACATTCCATTCAGAATTTGTTTACTCTCTGAAAATGCCATCCACTTTAATATATTATCCCTGTCACTTGAAAACTTATTCACTTGACAGTCTGCTCCCTCTCCTTCATCAGATGCTACCGACTCTGTGACCTCCCTCCCCAGACACCTACTTTTCTTAGTGACTTATCATGTTGTGATATAATTATTGTCTGTATTCACAGCTCACATTCACTGCTAAATAACACACCAGAATGACCTGCTCAAAGGTCAGGTTAGTCTCATTTATCTTAGATTTCTTCATAACAAAGGACCTGGAAAAGAAGGGCATGGTGAGGTATGCAAATTTATAAACTCATTTTGTAAACTCATTTTGCATTTTAAACCTCACTAGTTAGTGCAGCATCAGAAGGTCTCATGATAGAGCAGGGTTTCCAAACAGCAACTGTATAGACATTTTGGCCCAGGTCATTCTTCGTGTTGGGACTCAATCTGTACAATGCAGCATGTTTAGTAATGTGCCTGGACTCTGCCCATTAGCCTGTGGAAACCCCCCAGGTGAAAAAACCAAAAATGTCTTTTAAACACTGCCAGATGTCCCCTAGAGGGCAAAACCACCTCTGCCCTCTCCTGGGAGGACCTACGCTATGAGGCAGCAACATGAGGACAGCCTGCAGGGAACACAAGTTAGGGGTTTTTGGTTGGTTGGGTTTGCTTTGTTTCTTGACCTATGCTACGCAGTGATAGAAAACAGCCTCATCCCCAACCTGTAACAAAGTGTGCTATGCATACAAATTTCTAGAGGTGGATAGGGCAAAGCAAGGAAAATGCATGAGGGAGAACCCCCAAAAACCTGGAGGTGAGGTGAGGGGGATAGTGCATTTGGAATTTTCTCCACCAGGTCAGACTGTTGGTTGTTGTTTTTTTCCTCCAAGTCGGGCTGTTTATCAAGCCTTTTATTTAGAGGTTCCAAAAAGATTGTATAATGGTGTGTGATAATAAAGGCCTGATTTGTGGCAGACAGGGGACTGGTTTTGCCACCACGACAATGCACCTGCTCACAGAGCCA